AAACAGGAAGTTACTCCCGCCCAGTTGGCGGGTGGGGCTTGTACACCAGATGCCACCCCCAGCTCTGTTCACCGGTATAAGCGAGTTCCTCTGGAGTCTGTCAGGCATTCATTTAAACTGAGAAGTTTCTCGATTCCATAAGGCGGTTTTTTTCTCTCCATATTGACTCACTTTGTCGCAATTATCATTTTTCTTTAGTCGCGTTATTTAAAAAAAAATTTTAAGGGCAGATTTTTTGAACGGGTTACATTTCATAATCCGTTTAAGTTTTTCTTTATCCCGCCCGCGCTGTCTTAACGTCTGTGTGCGCGCGCTAATTAGCTTAACGGCTAGTGAGCACTACTCTACGGGACTGATAACTGCAGTGTGTGGTAAGTTTTATATTTAACATTTTATACCTTTTTAATGAAAAGCTCAGTCGGTCATTTTACGAATTTTGTAATTAAGGCGTACGTCAAAGTGCGCGCTGATGCTAACCCCAGCCATTGTATTATACATTCGATCCAGATGGTGGCTAGCGTATTTACTCGTTAGAAAAAAATACATTTAATATGGATTAAATACTTTATTTGACTTTGAATTGATTAAGACTGTTATGTGTGGGAGTCAGTTAGCCCATACAATGTTAAATTTGTATCAGTGTATAACGCCGATGTAATTGCTATTCTTAATGTTAATGCTAAGCGAATATAGGCAGCAAGAATTATATATGGTTTGCACTTTTTATAGACCTTTAAACCGGGTCGACACACGCGACACAACGAACCGGTGCCGCATTGAGTTGTGTTCCCTAAACTGAGTCATATCCGGTTGCGTCCCCCTGTTACGGAAAATAAACACGTCAGACACTAGTAAAACGCTGTTTATGGACGCAGCCACTATTATGGTGGATTAAAACGCCAAATTTGAGATCGGTCCAAATGTTTTTTGTTTTTTAAGATTGGGCCAGCCACTTCTGTAGCGCAGAGCGTGAAGCTGTACGAACAGACGGCGCTCGTGTTGCGTGAATGAATGACGACACGTGTGCGAGTAGGGAAAGTTAAAATGTCTCCCACATAAAACGGCTCGATGTATCTCGAGCTTCCCATCATGATCGCTTAATCATCCACCGTACAGCAATTAACATTTTAAATGCGACTATCCTGACTCAAAATAAAGGACATTGGTGTAATATAGTTGCGGTCTTTCATGCGCCATTTACTAAAAATGGCCTCCGTTTTAAGGAAGGGCAGCAACCAGAGGTCCTTCTTCCGGTCCACAGTTACTGCCGGTTTTCTACTCGTATATCTTATTCGTGATGTAAAGGTTTATTTCTTATGTAAAAGCTTTGTTGCCTGTGTTTTCACGTTAGTGAAGGATGCCTTGTTTTTTTTTTGTGTGTATGTGTTGTCTTTTCAGGATGTACCCTTGCTCATCTGCAGTCACAGTGGCACAATGGCTGGCTTTTCTTTCTGCTTAATCTCTCGGCACCCAAAGGAGAATAACAGATCCACCAAAATTTTAGGATAGCAATAGTTTTTCACTGTACCTCTAGTTTACTTTAATTGTTTTCTGGTTAGATCCAGATAAACCCATTACAAGTTTGCACTGCTGAATCCCACAAATTCTGTTAAGACAGGTGGGCCTAAAAATAAAGCTAATTATTTATTTACCTCTATTTACCTCTTTATTTTACTAGCTGCTGTTTAGAAACAGATTTATATAAAACCCTATTTTGTCTGGCATTTATTCCTTTAAGATTGTGAATCAGTTCCTTTAAAACTTACAAAAAATGTTTTCAACAACTGCAACTGCAATAGTGCTGGCCACTACCATGGTAACCTATACACCTCTGACTGAGTATGTGTGGTTGCTGGTTGTTGGCTTTATCATTGCCTTCGTCTTAGCCTTTTCTGTCGGTGCCAATGATGTTGCTAACTCATTTGGTACAGCCGTGGGCTCTGGAGTGGTCACTTTGCGTCAGGCATGTATTCTAGCAACAGTGTTTGAGACTCTGGGGTCTGTGCTTCTTGGGGCCAAAGTGAGTGAAACTATTCGCAAGGGAATCATTGATGTGGGCATGTACAACGGCTCTGAACATGTCTTGATGGCTGGATCTGTCAGCGCAATGGTTGGTGAGTATCTGCAGCTTATCTTTCATGTAATTTGAACTGTCGGTCAATGAACCCTGTGGACAGAGCATTGCTTGTAGAAATTAAAGATGTCAAAATGCATTGGAGTAGTGGTGAATCTGGTTGTAGAATATTTTTGGTACCCGTCTTGACTGTATAAAAGCTGAAATTATGACACCATGCAACTGATGTCATGAATGTATTCTGGTTAGGTTCTGCTGTGTGGCAGCTGGCTGCTTCCTTCCTTAAGCTCCCCATCTCTGGAACACATTGCATTGTTGGTGCTACTATCGGCTTCTCGCTGGTTGCCAAAGGGCAGCAGGGCGTCAAGTGGCTTGAACTCCTACGTATTGGTATGTAACCAGTCAACTGACATAGAAATTCCCTTTAATGGTTAATTTCATCACAGGCATTTAAAGTATATATTATTAATGGCGGTGTGTGAAGACTCTTACAGTGTGATAATACCATCCCAAATCCAGGTCAGTAATCAAGTATGTTCATGAATGGCAGGTCCAGCATTTCAGCTAAATCCACATTCAGACATGTGAAGCATTCATTGTACAAATCAATAGTGATTTCCACCACTTTGTGTTGGACTTTGGGAGGAGGCAGTACAAATAAGGAGTGTTATTTGATAAGGTCGTATGATGACTTGGAGAACAATAGGCAGTTTTAAAGGGTTGTTCTAGAGTTCAGTTTGTTGCCTGTGGGGTGGGTGTCTTTCTTTCTTCCTTCTCCCTTTAGTTTTTAGTTTCTATGAATCATGCTCATGTAACTCTATTTAAATAAACACATTCTTTATTAAAAATAAGCTGTATAGTAGGAGTTAAATGAATTTAGGAATTTTTTTTTTCTACTGTTCTTTGACAAATTCTCTCATTACTTTTCCACTGCTTTGTAATGCTCCCATTTGTGTTTGGATTTATTTATTTATCTATTTATTTATTTATTTGTGCAGTTGCTTCCTGGTTCCTGAGTCCCCTGTTGTCTGGAATAATGTCAGCCGTTGTCTTCTATTTTGTGCGCAGGTTCATTTTACAGAAAGTAAGTCTCCTTTTATCAAAATTGTGGATATGCTCGGTTAATGTAACATTATAAGAGTGAAGTTGTGGTTTAAGGCTGTTTCAACACTGTACTGGTCCACCCCCAAAATGCAATTGGGGAAAATGTTTATTACATGGCAGGAAATAAGCTACCGTGCTTTGAAGCAGTTCCTTATAGGAACACATGGCTCAGATTTCCACTGTGCTTGTTGTGCCTTGAAATGTAACCTGACAGCAAGATGAGGCAACTTGGATTTCTGAACATTCTATTTTCTTCCTGTAGGAAGACCCAGTACCCAATGGCTTGAAGGCCCTGCCTGTCTTCTATGCGATGACAATGGCAATCAACTTGTTCTCCATCATGTTCACTGGTGCTCCGGGTGAGTATCATTGTTTCATTTTGCTCTGCATGCCTGCCCACAGCCACAGCTTAAAATAAGCTGCTCCCTCAGACAGCCGGATGCCCACACATATTCCAGCCTGAACCAGACTGTTTACCATTTTCACAGAAGCCTTGTTTATTTTAACATGTTTTTTTGAAGCTCTCTTGCTTTGTGGTTCTATGTGGGTCATAGCTGGCATGAAGTTTTAGAGTGGAGCACAACAGGGAGATGGAAATAAGATTTCATTTAACTCCTGACATCACTTCAGGCATGCAGGAGGAAAAGAGAAGTAAAGAGTGTGCTGTCAAAGTTGTCTGCTGCTAGTAGTTGTATTATTGCTCTGAATCTGTGTGGCAATGCTCTTAATATTTGCTGGTTTTTGGTTTACCAGAAACTCTTTATTAAATGAGCCATTTTCGCTCCTTTTGTTTTCTTCTCTCTGCAGGGCCTAACAGTTCCAGATCTTAGCTGGCCTGGGCCATTTAAATGACGGCTACAGGCCAGAGTTTGACCAGATCTGGTGAGCTGATGTGTGAATGCACATCAGCACACTAAGAAGAGAGCACTTGCACTTCCCACATAGACAGTAAATCCCTGGTTAGTCAGGCACAACAGTACAGTCATATCAAGTTCACCACACGTGAAATTGCCATCTGCAATTTTATTTTTAAATATATTCACAAGACAAACTAGCATTCATATACTTACATGTTGTACACAAAGACAGAGGTCATAATACAAACTTTGGCTCATTGTAAAAGTAAAGTAGACTAGGTTTTACTCTACTCTCCTCAGTTGTTTGTCATTGGCCCAGTAACACAAATTCATCACTGCATTTATAATTAAAAAAACAAACAAAAAAAAAAACATTTAAGTTTTCAGACCTATAGTCTAGGCTTGGCTTTGGTTACTATACTGCTCTGGCACCCAGGACGACAGCAGCGCATTATTGCTGATGAATGCACCTTAATGCAGCAACAGTATCTCAGCTAACTGAGTCCAGTGTGTTTGGTTTCCTGTGACATTCCCTGATCTTTATGCTAGCTTAGTGGTGAAGTTGGATGCCAGACACCCCACAGCACATTCCTATGCTCAATATAAACACCAGTGCCAGAGACCTCAAGTCCGCATTTGGGCCAGAGAATTTAAGGGTCAGCTGACTGTCCTGTACAGATGAGGCTCAGTGTGACTTCATTCCTTCATAAATCATTCAGCTGCTGTCACTGCATTGCAGCCCTATACATTGTAAAAGGGAGACGCACCCTAAAAGCCAACTTCATGCCATTCAGTCATGAAGACAAATGAAGTTCAGGTAAAGTACTGTTAAGCCTTCAGAGCACAGATGCTGAACGCAATTCCCTGTTTATGACGTTTGCTGAATCTGCCCTAAATTTTGTCCTCGTTGCTGCACATCACTCAATTGTTCGCACCTGCTCTATACACAAGTCTAAACAGGACCGTGGCTTTTTTTTATTATGTATTTAAAGTGTCAGAGTGACAGGATATCTGGACCCCTCATACCAGCCTCAATTGATAAACTTCCATTTTTTTGTAGCAGGGCACAAATTTTCTGCCTCGATAACCCACTGAAAAACAGTCACTGGATTTAGTTACCATGGGGGCACTAAACAATTGGCATCACAGCACGGATGACTTGTTTCAACCTGAGCCATGATCCTGAAACAACTTTTAAGCGATTGCTATAGTCAACTCTTGTGTAACAGATTTTAATTCATTATGAGGAGTTACAAATGTCATTAGTCCTTAGTGCCCTAAGGACAGATAACCAAAAGGGTTCTTGCCAAGTGACTCAAACTCCACCTTTAACTGTCATTGTAATTGAGGTTGGTGGTGTACTGCATGTACAGTACTGGGAGGGGGGAAAAAAACAAACCTTGTTGTTGTGTAATGCAGGACATGGAATATAGGTTTCTGCAAGTGTTTTGGAACACAGCTGTGGTTAAATTTCATTTACTGTCCAGTTTCAGTCATCCCACTGCATGCTTGTGGTATAAAGTCACTTCTTTCTGTAAGAGTATTAATCAGACTACAAAATGCAGCCCAGCTTTTTAATCTATACTACTTTTTTCCTTCACAAAAAATAAATAATAATAATTACCATCCGGGTGGATAATTTCCCTCTTTATTCTGTAGTTTTAAAATCCTGTTTGATATCAGATGAGTTCCTGTTTAATAATGCATGGCAGTACCACGTGTGTTTGGATGTCTCTAGTAGTGAGTCAGTGTACTCAGTTGTAGACAAGACTTAACTGTTAAGAGTCACCGTCCACTTTTTCCTTATGCCTCTCCTGTCCCAAAGGGAGTGAGCTTCCATTGCGTAACTAAATAAACATGAGTTAGGTGCTCCGCAGTCTCATGCTGCAGCGTGACTCAGTGCACTGTGTGGACTGTGCCCTCAAACAAACACAGTAACTGAGACACTTATCACCTCCCCATGGCCCTCATTTCCTTTTCTTCTCTTACACTTCCTAAACAATCCATATCTTAGTGGAAGTGTGGCGTTTATGGCCAAGGTCATGTCCAGACATTCAAACAAGGTGGTAGATTTTTATTTTTTATTTATTTTTATCCACAATTTGTTTTTGTCCCCATGAAACTGCTGACTTTGTGTATGACATGGATAACTGCTTCTCCAGGGAAATGTAAATGGTAACTCTCTGCCAGCATGCATTGCGCTACATCTTTGTGCTGCACCAGGTTTGCTGCAGTGTTGGCAAGAGGGTGTCTTCATTTTTTTTACAGTAAAGTGCCCTAGTACGAGCCCCCCCCCACCCCACCCCTCCCCTTCTTTTTGCTTTTCTTTTATGCTACCCAAGTTATGTCTCCTTTTGAGGAACTCATTGTTTCTGTGTAATTGTTAGCTGGGCACCTTGGGGTCTTGGTGACATTGGTGTTGCATAACTGTTCATGTCTGGGGGTACACATGCTTTCCATTTTTAACTACGTGGCACAATGAAGCTATGCAGTCACTGAAGTTGTTGCAGAGTACTTGAGTACTTTCAAACATAAGTGCCATTAATGAATGAAAATGAAACTTCATTGCCCTCATAGGACCCTTTCTAGAGGGGCTTATATTTTTACATATTTATAAAACTGCTGTTCTATATTATATTTTAATGTTGGTGTATTACTTTGTGTGGTCTGCTAGAAAAGGTAGCTCCTGCTGCCTAGTTGTTTTGTTTTTTTTAAATATGCCTTTCTCTTATTTGCTTTTGTTTATATCTGCGTGGCACTTGGCGATCCTCCAGTGCTGGGATTTGACATGATACCTTGGTGGGGCATCCTGCTCATCTCATTGGCCTGTGGTCTGCTGACCTCCATTGTGGTTTGGTTTATTGTCTGCCCTCGCCTAAAGAAGAAGATTGAACGTAAGTCCCATTTTTGCCAATCTGACTCACTGTTCAACTCCATGTGACTCAGTTTCCTTACTTAAGCCATTGGACAAATCATGACTGGAGCGTTGCACTGCAACTCCGCCTATCGAGTGTGGGATTATATTAATCCAGCAAATGGAGTTCAGGGATATATTTTTCACAATGGATTCGCTCTAATGAAAATGATGTGAAAATATTGTCTTTGCTTTAATCCAGGATTATAGAATTAAAAACCAGAGTAAACTCTGATGCATTTGCATCCGAATAGTGTGATTTGGTGTTAAGACATAACCATTCGTTTTAACCTCCATGAATGTATTTTTGGCTCACTCTGTTATCTACAATGCAGTTCTTCTCTTTAATGACTCATAGGTTTAGTCTCTCCTGGCATAAGTTATCTTTTCGGGTTGATTACAGAAAAGCTGTGTCTGATGCAACCTATGACTTAGGTTCACAAATATTGCCTTTTATTACTTAATAGAACTCTAAATGGTTCATTAATGACATATTTAGGGAAAAATGTCTCCTAAAATGAGTAATAACTTTTTTTTGAAGAGAGGGTTTGCTCTCTTTTTATAAAAAAAAAAAAAAAAAAAAAGTGTTTGACAGATCCTTTATTCATCACTTCTCTCTTGGAGCAGCAGGTTTATCTGACAAGGCATAAACTGCCTTGATTCAGTAGACAGGCTGACTAATTGGGTCATAAGGATTCACTAATTGGTCTTTACCTCCTCGACTAAAAATAAGCCCGCACTGACTTTGTGTTGACGTGGCATTGGCAGTGCATTGGGAGGTGTGTTTGAGGGGGACCTATTGCTTCAGATCCAGCCATGACCAGTTTGGATGATGCAATCTCACCAGGACACACTTAGATTTATTGAACAAAAAATAATGGCACTGAGTATCTAGTTCACTTTAAAGCTACAAAAAATGTCATGTGAGCCTCGGACATTTAGTTTATTGTCTCTCTTAAAACAACATAATAGTGGTAATATGAATATGTCCTTTGTAATCCTGTTAATCTGATCCTGTGAACACCGGAGTCCACCCTTGGACACAGATCTTTATATTTACAGTACAAAGGGTTTTCTGACTTTAAGGTTATGCAACACTTGGACTCCCTACAGCTGAAGTTGAAGGAAAAACAGATGCTGGGTTAGGATGTCTCTGCTATGCTAGGATGTCTCTGCTATGCTAGGATGTCTCTGCTATGCTAAGTATATGTTTGGATGCGATCCAAATAACTCTCAATCCAACTCTTGCCCTAATAGGAGATATCAAGTCCAGTCCCACTGAAAGCCCTCTGATGGAAAAGAAGGAGCTTAAAGAAGCCCACTGTCCAATCCTGAAGCAGGCATCTACCACACCAGCTGCCAGTTACAACTCTGCTGACCCTCTTCCTGGCCCTGAGGAGCGCAGGGTGGCCTTTGACATCGGAGATTCAGATGAAGCCGACAGTAATAAGGAACACAGGGTGGCCTTTGACATCGGAGATTCTGATGACACAGACTACAGCAATTCAAACGATGGTAAATATGCCAAAATACAATATGTTTTAAAAATCTTTGTCATCTTAAAATGACAGTTGCTATAGATATTTCATAATAATTTTATGATTAACTTGCAGATGATTTTATGACATTTCTTTTTTCTGCAGCCCCTGCACAGGTTCAATCAAACAGTCAGGTCCATTTTAGTAACCAAGCCCAAAGCAACGGTGCCTCCACAAATGCTCAAAATCAGGTTCAATTCAAAAATCATGTTCAGTTCAACAACAGACCTCCACAGCCACCAAGTAACGGTTATAGCCAGTACCACACAGTCCACACAGACTCAGCCCTCTACAAAGACCTACTGCACAAGCTCCACCTGGCCAAAATGAGCGACTGCATGGGAGAAGGAGGCGACAGACCTATCCGGCGCAACAATAGCTACACCGCCTACACCATGACCATCATTGGCATGCATGACAAGCATAAAGAAGGGGACTTCCGTGCTTGTGAGGATGGCAACAAGGCTCCAGGATCAGGCAGTCAGGAGAGAAAGCGACTGCGTATGGATAGCTACACCAGCTACTGCAATGCTGTGGCAGAGCACACAACTCCTGAAGGTCTGGTAGAGGGTGATGTGAGGCTAGACATGGAGATCAAGGATACAGGTAGCAGCCAGAGTTCCCTGGATGATGAAAGGCCTGAAAAAGACAAACCAGAAGTCTCAGTCTTGTTCCAGTTCCTTCAAATTCTTACTGCTTGCTTTGGATCCTTTGCCCATGGAGGAAATGATGTTAGGTATGGTTAATGATATCATATCAGACAAGTGTGTGGTGACCTGTTTCTTTACCAGATTGTTAATAACGACAAAAAAAATTTATCCACTCTGCAGTAATGCCATTGGACCTTTGGTAGCTCTGTGGTTGGTTTACGAAACAAGCAGCGTGTTCTCAAATGCACATACACCCATTTGGTTACTGCTGTATGGTGGCGTGGGTATCTGCGCTGGACTCTGGGTATGGGGTCGCCGGGTGATTCAGACAATGGGGAAAGACCTCACCCCCATCACCCCCTCAAGGTAAAGACTCAGACAGTTCATAAGTTGTTTCCACCCAGAACCACATCCTCCCCAGACATTACTGCTCCTTACATTTGAGCTGCTCAGACGCATCCACATGAGTTTTTTCTTTCTCCTCCTGCAGTGGTTTTAGCATCGAACTGGCCTCAGCCTTGACTGTCGTGGTTGCTTCTAACATTGGCCTGCCTGTCTCCACCACACACTGCAAGGTAAGCTGGTCAAACACTGTGGTCTGGGAACTCAAACGAGAGATGACGGAAGAGACTGTTTCATAAGAGGGAGGCTTGAGTAAACAGTCTGGTAGAAGTTCCACATGTGGAGCAAGTTTATCCTCAATAAAATGTCGGGCATATGCATGCACAACGATCATTTGACTGTTATTTATCTGAAATAGGTGGGCTCTGTGGTGGCAGTAGGTTGGCTGCGCTCAAAGAAGGCAGTAGACTGGCGTCTGTTCAGGAACATCTTCATGGCGTGGTTTGTGACGGTTCCCATCTCTGGTCTGATCAGTGCTGCTATCATGGCTATCTTCGTCCACGTCATCCTGTGAGCATTCAGCTGCACCCCAAGCAGGGGGAGGAGAGAAAAACGCTCCGACGTGCACCCGAAGAGAAAGGAGTGAAGTTTGAAGGCCAAAATATATCGCTTACCTCTGGCCAACAACTTTATAAGAAAAAGGGGGAAAAAAAAAAAAAAAGTTAGAAAGGGTTCAGTGACATGTGCCTGTGGTTCTTGGCTGCATCATTTTCAGACTATAACTTGCTATCTGTTCCATTTGGGTCACATAACTTGTAGTTACGACCTTTTTCATTTCTTTTGGCTTTCTTTTTCATATCTCATCATTCTGTAAAGAGTTAATCTTAAATCAACTGTTTGTAATAATTCATGTTCTTTTTACTTTGCGGTTATGTATGATTATTATGTACAGCCATTTTATTTTATACATTAGGCAGGAATGAACAACTGAAAATGCAGTATTAGCCTATTACAGATGTAACACTCGAGTCTTCACACATGCTGGAGACTGATTCAAGAAAAATAAGAAGGCAGTATTTGGGTGAAAGTGTTTCGCTGTTTTAGAGTAGAGTTTACAGCCGGTTTTCTTTCAGCTGACAAATTAGGACCCTTTTTGTTGTTAAGAGATAAATGTTTTTCACCTGTTTGAGCATGTTTTTCTACCGTGCTGGATGACTACAGCTGAACATTATGAGGAATACTACGTAATTGTCATTAAGCCATCACACTAGTAAGAAATGGCACAGCCCAAATTGGTAGTTGGTGAGTTATCGCTCTGCGTCTCCAGGTTGGGACTTTCTGTTCTTGATCAGTGCGGAAATAACAGATCTGTTGAGAAATGTCATTTCTGAACATCAGCTAGTGCAACAACGTGTTCCCAAACATTACCTTAAGTCTGTTAAAACTTGATTGAATCGTCCCTAATGGTTTAAGCGCTCTAGGTCGGCTTCAGCCTTGTTTTTGTAGTCCACATTAAGATACATATTATTACACATATTCAGTTTGCCTGGGCAACTAGGTTTTCCCACCCTTCCTCTGGATGATACATGATGAGGATCAGGAACCTGAAAACTGGAAGTTTATTGTGTGCCCAGTGTGTGATTGACTGCAGTAATGAATGCATTTCACAACCTAGATGCTGTAGCTGCCTTAATTGTTTTATTTTCCATTAGGTACCAAAGAGTTTTTGTTTTTAAGGCATATCAAGATGTACTACTCCACATTTGTGGAAGGAAAAATGGAAATAAAAATTGAAAAACAGAATACTTGTTGAACTTGTCTTTGTTGATGATCTACAATGAAGGGGACATTACTGCAATGTGTATCAATACAAACACAGTATACAGCTACTGATATCTGTACAGATTATTTTATTTTTAATAAATTTCCCCTCTTGTGAACATCTCTGGAAGGCCTTCAACACCTTAAAATATACCCCCCTCCAACTCATTTTTAACAGTATTTTGACAATTGGTAACAAAACAAATATCTGCTCCCTATTTTCTGAGATTAGGTGCTTCCGGTGCATGCAGCAAGATGTCAGAGATATACCAGACTGTGGTAATGGCAGTCATTTACTTTGCTGCCAGAGATGCTAGTAGGATCAACAAACTAATCGAAAAGTTGGCCAGAATCCGGGGGCGTTTGAGTCGCTGAGGGACAGAAGGTTTGAACAAACTGCAGTCTCACATAGACAACCCATTGCACCTGCTCCATTCTGCACTACAGAGGCAGCAGGGTTCATTCTTCTTATCCAACCCCACTGCTGTAGATAATGCTTGAGGAAATCATTCCTGCCAGTCTCTGCACAAAATAAACAGAAACCTGTCCAACAGCTGTCCTGTGACAGGTGAGCACACCTCTTAAATTGATAGTGTGCATGTTGTTTATTAATGCCGTTGGCATTCTAGAATTCTCTTTTGCACATACTTTTTTTTTTTTTTTAAACTAATTTTTCTACTCGTTGTGTCACTTTATATCACATTTTGCACTTCCTCACATCATAAGGCCTTCAGTATGGGCCTGTAGTACCTTTAACTCTATCAATCACCTGCTTCATGTCTTGTTTTCAAACACATTTCGAACAACATTAACAGCATTTCTAATTCCAGATGTTCTCTTTTACCTTGATAAGCTGTTGGGAGGCCTACAGTAAACTGACCATGTTCAACCCCAAAAATGTAAGGGCCTGGACCATCTGGATGATCCAGTCCTCCTTCGCCTCAGTGATGATCAGATTGCTGCATGTATTCTTAATTTTATCACTCACACATCAAGTCACAGGACATTGTGGCGTGAGCTGTAGTCCTTATTCTCACTGAACTTGGAAAAAACAAAAACTGAATCTAAATACTGAAAAGCTACAAGGCTACACCCATTTCATTTTAAAAGGTTATATTTATTTATCCGCAGCTACTCTTGTACATTGTTCTTTATTTATGATCACATACAATGTGTCCTTTTATTATGTGCTTGGCTCTCTGAATTCTGACACATGTTAAGTACACTGTGTTGATTAAGGAGTCAAATTTCAGCCTGAAGGTAAAATGACGCAGCATCTTCTGAGCTGCAATCTTGAAAAGCACTTTGTGTTGCAAAACAGGAAAAAAGGGAACGGGCAGGTTTAAAAACAAGGGAGGAGGGGTCCCTTTTTTTTTTTTTTTTTTTAATTTACTGTAAGCTCGGGGTAGTTTGCACACTGCATGATGAGCCAGTGCTGGTATCCACGTGCTGCTGTGCCCTCTCACTCCAGTGCATCTGCGACACAGGAACAGACAGAAGAGATTCCTTTACGCCAGCTTTACACTGCAAACACTGCAATTTAGTAGTTTTCCAGGCCTCTCGACATGAGGATACCAATCATGAGGCCTCTACTACACTCAGTCTTTTCAGACCAGTGGCTGGAGAGATCACCCTTATTAGAGAACCTTACACCTAAATAACTGGATCAATTTTAAAACAGTCCTTTTAGCACACTTTCAGGACAGGGACAATGCATCCTTGGTCCTAAAATATCCACAAGTATAAATCAAGCACAATAAGCAGATGTCTGGGGACAGACGTCTCCGAGTGGCCCGGATTCTTGTCCCAGATTTATCACATACAAGGAGGACTCTGTTCAAACAAACAATCCTAGCATCTTATTTTTGAGGTCGAGCAGTAAACCCGTCTCTGTTGTGACTCACATACCTCGTCAGACACTTTGTAAACTGTTAAAAAAAGAGTTTCCCCAAACTGCCAGGCTGTAAACTTGTAATTGCACTTGAGGCATTTTTAACTGTTGTTACACAAACATCTATGGAGGGTTGGTTTTTTTTTTTTTTATGTGACACTGTTTAAATCCAGCTGAGACTGGCTCTGTCTGGCTTTGTTTTTGCACTCGCCACTCTATTGCACAACCTGCAATTTAAATTTAAAGTTGCACACAGCAGTTTACCACATCTTGCCTCAGCAGGTACTTTTGAATCAAAAGAAGAAAAAAAAATGTTGATCATAGTCTTTGAGTCAGGCTCAATTTACTGCATGATAAACATTAAACAGCTCAGGATACTTTCACTGTTTTGTGTGATTCATTAATGCATCTGTGGAACATTTTACACACTGTTACCTTGCTCCTTGGTTGAATCCTGAGTGTTTTCATCTACAGAGGAGAAAAAGCAGGATTGAAGGTTGACTGAAGATAGTCGGGGTGTTTAATTCAAACAAATTTTCAGTCTTTTGATTTTGATCTTACCCAAACTGGTCACAGCCTCAGTTACAACCTCATGGTGTTCTAGGAAAATATTCAAATAAAAACACTTCCTGTTTTTAAAAACTTCCTGTTTTTATTTACCTCTAAACAAGCTTTAAATACATTTTAAAAAGACACTAAAAGCACACAAATTGTCTTGGCTTTGTGGAAAAGTCACAAGCTACTCATTATCTCCAGGCTCAAAGTGTATTTGTGCAAACTGTTGTGGTGTAATAAAGATTTACAACACTTACCCTGCCTTTGTGGCCCTGTCAACATTAATAAAAGCAGACTTTAACACTAGTGTAAGGACAGGAGCTTAAATTACACTGCCTAAAAAAAAATATGTCACAGACTCACCATCTGCGTCCTCAGAGGACTCAGACTCTGCCTCTGTGTGAAAGGGGACAGGGATTGAATTATGTGTTGCATGTCAGTGTGCTTTGAGCTGGAGGTCTGCCCTCTGCTTTGCTGCCACCCGCAGGCTCACGATTGAACTGTAAATCCTCTCTTACCTCCTTGACCTGCAGCATCAGAATTTCCACCACCTTCTGCTGGAGGAGGATTTCACAGTTAAGTACTGCTTGTTGACCCTTCAGGTAAAGAAGAATCACCTGCTTGATGTGCTTTTTGTTGTTTTTTGGGTTTTGTTTTTTTTTTTACACACCTGCGTTGGCATCCTGAGAGTCCACGCGCTCCTCCACTGATGGAAACATGTTAACAGGTGATGAAGGCGTTTAACTTAGCGGTCAGTTCAGGTGTTCGTCGTGTAATTAACTGGAGCTTACCAGAGTGATCCTGAGCGGCCTCTGAGAATGAAAGACAGCATTACCACCTGGAACTGGATCACTCATTAAAAGGTTTAAGTTAAATATTTTTAGTCTGCCCTCACCGAGGTAGCGGGAATCTCCACTCTGATCTTCAGTAGCTTGATGGAAAAAGGCGAAAAATGAGTAATCACAGTGGGAATAAATCTTTCCTCATTTATTCATCAAGGCCAACTTTTTGTATTAAACTTACCATTCATGTGAGCTTCCTGGTTTTTCTGAGCAGCCTCAAACTCCATCTGATCTTAAGACATGAAGTGATCAAAATTACAAAAGTAAGAGCCGAGAAACATCACACAGAAACGTATTAACAGTTAACTAAGACAAGGGCAAGCCAGTCTGGGTTATTTTGTGGAATATACTACATGATCTTAATTACTTTTAAGCCACTTTTAATGACCAAGTGTCAACTGTGAACACAGAGGTGCTCTATGGATACTGTACCTATTTTCTGCAGCTCAGCTAGCCCATCTGCATGAAAAGACAAGAAAGGTTTGCAGCAATGCATCTGCTACCAACATCATCTTTACTGGTTATCATTATCATTATTCTTATTCTTATTATGAATCCCTCACCATACTTTGCAGCTTTTTCTTCTTTCTCTGC